TTGCGCCCACCCATGAAGGCGGAACTGATGTCGCCCAATTCGATGTCAAAGCCCATGGACACATCCAGCTGCATACTCATCATCCAGGCCTCCTTCGAGATCATGAGCGAGTAAGTCTCCAGCTCTGCGAGGTCGGGGCCCTTGTCCCCGCGTCCGACCCAACGGCACTTCGCCACTCGACGACCGTCCTTCGGCTTCCAGGTGCAGCGATGTCGGCTAGGCATGATCCTGTCGCCGTGCTCCTGCTGGACGACGTTCGCCTCGCCCGTCGGCGCGATACGGACGGCGCTCGCGCCGCGGATCTTCTTCCACTCCGTGCTCCTCGCCCCCATGGACTGTTCCTTCTCCTTGTCTGTCAGGCTCTTCAGGTACATCTCCTTCCTCTTGGCGGCCTGCCTGGGAGATAGGTCAGCTGTCTCCCCCATCCGAGATCGACTCGGCCATGTCATGCGACGTCGGCATCTCGGGCGTCTCGCCCACCGGCTTCCTCGGCGCCTCGGCCCTCTCAGGAGCGGGGGCCGGCGCGTGGGCCGGCCTCTTGGCGGTGATCCTTCGCCTGGACGTCTCCGCCCCCGCCTGCGGCCTCCCGATCCTGGGGCCGTCGGGCTGCTCCTCGGCCCCACCCGCGGCCCCATCTCCTTCTCCTGGTAACAACACGTCGGGACTGGTGGTCCAGCCTCCCTTCTCCCCCTCCTGGCATCCCGTCCTCCGCGGTGTTCTCGGCTGGTGCCGGTAGCCGCCCGTCCTCCGCGCCCGGAGGCTCCAGCTGGTCGGAGATGTCCTCCACCCTGCGCTGGCGTCCGTGCGCCTCCAGTCTCCGTCACGTAGTGATTGGCTCGTACCTCGGCTTTTCGTAGCGGCCTGTAGCTGCTCTCAACTACACAGTATGACGCCTCCTTGGTACGACACGTAGGCTTGTGGCGGTGGCTGGTCCTCTCTAGTGCTCCCAGGCCTCGCCGCTTGGGTCCCTGCTGCCTCCAGTAGTAGACTTTGTCCTTCGGCTTTTCCAGTCGCCACGGTATGAGATGCTCCTCTTGTTCTTGGCCCTGTCCAGTCGGTCCAGCACGGATTCTCGAGCATGCGCATCGCGGGCTGCGAGTCGGAGCCCGATCGCCCTCGCCAGGGCTCGGTCTCCAGCCGCATGGCGAGACACCGTCTCCAGGCCTATGTCCTATGTCTGCGTTGCCCTCGTGCGCCCCCTGAGGTAACTGGACTCTCTGCCGAACACTCGGAGGTCAGGTCCTCTCTCGCTCACGGCGCAGTTGACGGCGTCGAACAGCTCCTCCTGGTCCTCGGCGCTCGAGATCGTCTCGGTCAGCCTGATGCGGTAGCAGGTCCTCTTCCAGAGTTGTCCCGCGGTCTCTGTCTTCCCGTTCTGGCGCGCGCTCTCCGCTCCGACTGGGCCCAGCTCCGCGCCCTCCGCGCTTGCCCGATCCGCGAAGGCCCCCAGTGGTGGTGCCCCTCTCCTGGTCGCTGATGATGCGCTTTGGTCTGCCGTAAGACCTCAGCCAGTCCTTGCGGTGCGCCTCTCTGGTCGTCGCGATGTCCCTGCCCGGGAGTCGGACGACCATCTGCTTGCCAGTGCCCCAGTCGACGATGTTGAGACACGGGGCCGATTCGTTCTTGGGCTTGTCCTGGTTGCCCCACGTGGTGTCCGCGAACAGGAGTCCCATCCCGAGCACCGGGCTAACCTTGGAGCTTTCCGGCGTAGGTAGTATCGCGGGTGGCGTAGCCTTCGGGCGATTCGTGGCGTCGTAGACGTCGCATTTCTCCATGACCTTCTTCATGGCGCCCAGGAGCTCCGGTCTGGCCTTCGCCATCTTTAGGACAAAGGTGGCCCTCCGATGGTCTGCGTGCCCCAGATTGGCGCGCATCCACCTCGCGATCGTCTCCCAGGTGTCTCCGCCAGGTCCGGCGGAGGTTGAGTCGTGAAGGGCCATCGACAGGTTCATCTCCTCGATGGGGCGCTTAATGTTCTCGTTGATGACCTTGCGGAGCGCCTTCACCAGGTTCGGCGGGGGCATCTGTGACCATAGTGAGATGTTCTGAAGCTTCCTGTCCAGATTCCTCTGGTTCCCGAACGCGGTCGTGTGCTCGTGGTCCTTCGCGCACCTCTTCTCGAGGTCCTCGGTGTGATCCGTAGGCGCACTGATCCAGGACGATTCTCTTAACCTTCGGGTCCTTCGTGAGTCCCCTCATCTCTGCTGAGCCCCAGGAAGTCGCGGTCCAGGGGTGCTCCAGGTAGAAGTGGCGGCCGGCGTCCAGCTACACCTTGGCTAGGCGGATCGCGAACCCTAGGACCAGCAGGACCTCTCGGCAGTTCTTCTCCCAGCCCTGCGTTCGCTTGTCCTGGCTGATGTGCGGCAGGGCGCAGCACGTCGTGCATGGTGGCGATGATCCATCCCGCCACCTTCGGCTTGCACCTCGCGATCTCCGCCAGCGCCCGCATGCGGTCCTCCTTCCGGCAGCCCCAGCCCGCCTGGAGGTCAAGGGCCAGGCCCCCTGCGATGGCGGTCTGGTCCTCGCAGTCCAGCGCCCGAGGGGGTGAGAAAATCTCGGCCAGATCGTCGGTGGCAGTGCGTTTCGTGAGATTGCCGGCAACCTTGCCGTCTCTGATGAACAGGAGTTGTTCTCGCGCGTGTTTCAACAGATCGCCCATGATGCGCTTTCACTCGCCGCTCTCTTGTCTGTACTGGGGTATTTCATGTTGGCTCACGACCGCAGTGAACAAAAATAGTAAAAGTGGATAATTAGCAACACCTCAACGTAGTAAAGGTATGCCCGTCATTCTCTCCAGTGTTCTTTATCTCATCACCGCTTCGCACAGAATGTGCACGAAGCCACTATATTGCCTTCTTGGCTGAAGTCTGTCCACATACAGAGCACACAAGCTTTTCGCCAACGTCATCAGGTCGAAACGGGAGTAGCACATGACAATGATTGCCTGGCTTCTTGGTACGTTCATTGTGCGCATCAACATCGGCGTTCCAGTTGGCAAGGCGACGTCGTGGACCAAAATTTTGATCCTCCACACCACAGAGGTATCTGGCCCATCCCAACGCCTTACCTTTCATGTTACATTGCATACATTCAAATCGCACATATCCTTTCCTCGTGGGGCCCATAGGATGGCCAAGGACGTGGTGACCCTGAACTCGAGCTTCACGTGTTTGGAGAATTCGCTTTTGCTCTCGAAGTAGATATTTGCTGCGTAGGCCTGCAATATCTACCAAATCTGCTTCCGTCCATTGAACAGCCGCACGTGCAGTGTCAAGAGCAGTGGCTTTTTGCATTGTCTTCAACAGCAGAGCGGCGACTCATCACGCTCTCCCCCTTATAAGAACATATAGTTCCGCAGCAGTTTTCAAACCAAGACTGCGCTTGCGCTCTTTGCGAATTCTCGAGAAAACCACAGGTTTGTTTTGTTATCAACATTTTCATTGAATTCTGGCAAACGGGCCTCTCGCGCGCCACATGCCGACATCATTCGAACGCCTTTGTGCGCGTGCTCGGTGGGCACGAACCGTGTCAAAAAACACCGTTCGGGCCACTCGCACGTCGGCCGCGCGCGCATGTCGAACTCCATCCAAAACCTTCATCACCGACGTGAGGACGCCGTCATCGTCGTCGGCGTGAGTAGCATCAGCGCCGCCACTGGCCGTGCCGTGGTCGTTGCCAGCATCGCCACCAGCATCGCTATTATCATCATCGTGTCTACTGTTGTCGACGTTGCCATGATACCGCGCCCGCCCAAGTCGCCAACTCGCACCTACCTAAATGGTCGCGCCAACCAACTGGCCGCCGCGCGCATGTCCATGCGCGGGCTGGCGCGGCCGCAGAGATGCACCAGCCAACACCAAGCATTCATGGCAATCGCCGCCGCTCGTGTTTTGCAAGACAAGTTTCGGGCGGGTGGGTGGGCTGGTTGCGCGAGCACTGAGGTTGACAACTGCGAGTTCCACAAGTGAGCTGCACCACGTACGTGGCTCCACCTAGATTTACTCATCACATATTGCTGAAGCACACGGTTCGGGGCCCACGTTGGCCAGCATGTAAATACCTCCGACTCCCCTTTGGCGCACCCCGGGACGAGTCGGTCGGGCGGGGCAGGCGTTTCGCTGGAGGATTCTCCACAACGTGTGGACTGAAAACATGAAACCCACGGCATTTTCACAGATGGACGGCGGGTGGTTTTCAAAACGTTATTCTCGTTTCAGCGCCATGCACATTCGCTTCAAGTGGTATCACGTGTTCCACACATTGAAGGCCGACCGTTTTCAAATTGTGGTTCTCGCTAGCTCCGCGCGCATTCGTTTTCAAATTTCGTAAAGGGCTACACGGATGAAGGGCGGTACCCGTTCAAAGTGTGGTTCTCGCCGCCGCGCACATGTGCTTTCAAAGCTCCCAGTTGCGCGGATGGATGGCGGTACCTTTTCAAGGTGTCGTTCGTGCCGCCGCGCACATTCGTGCACAAAGTTCGCAAGAGTTGCCCTGATGGAGTGCGGTTTTTTAATTCGGTGTTTGCCGTAGCGCCATGCGCATCCGTCGTAACAGTATACGGCCGATAAGAAGATTCTCGTGGCTGGCGTCCCAAGAATGGTGCGTGAGCATCTAGCACGGTTTAGGGCTGTCAGGGCACGACAACCAAGTTGATTGGCGGTGTCGACGTCCCCAAAGTCATGTCGCAATAGTGGCGCTGATTCGCATAATTGGAATCCAAGGAATGTCCCTTTGATGCGGTTGAAGATTTTCAGACGGTTGTCTTCCAACGGGGCATTCCTTGCGTTGAAGATTGATTTTTGCAGGGCCCTATGAAGAGGGAGTTCGGAGGGCCGGTGTATTGAACCATCGTCGGTGGGCCTTTGGTTTACATTTGTCCTCCTCCTCCTCCTCCTCCTCCTCCTCCTCCTCCTCCTCCTCCTCCCCTTCCTCCTCTTTCTTCCCATCTCCTCGTCGTCTTCCCCTCCCCCCCTTTCTTCCCTCCGTTTCCACGCCGCGAGGAGACGGAGAAGCGGCTCATGGGGGAGAAAGCGAAGGACGACCGGGCTAGGAGCCACGCGAGGAGGAGGAGGAGGAGGAGGAGGGTGATGAGGCGGAAAACGAGGATGCGTGGGAGGGCGGCGTCTGCACGATTCCTGCGCTTTCTGGCACCAGGCACCTGGTGGCGAGGCTTGTCTGGCCCAACCTGCTAGCATGCGCGCGGCTTACCAGGGCAGGCAGTGAAATGCCAGGGCCGAGCAAGGTTTGCTTTGGCAGGGCATTTCGGATGCACCGCACAGTCCCCCTCCTCGGTTGCACGGTTGCACATCTGATCCGAAGTGCAGTCACAATCGCACGCGGACAACAAAGATTGGGGGGAGGACGCTTCTTGCAGCCGTGCAGCCGAGGAGGAGGAGGAGGAGGAGGAGGAGCAGGAGGAGGAGGAGGAGTAGGAGGAGGAGGAGGAGTGTGCGGTTGATGCGGATGAAGCGGAGAAACGGGGAATAGGTGGACGGCGAGGGGGTGGACGAGGAGGAGCGCAGGAGGATGAGGAGGAGGAAGATGAGGAGGAGCAGCAACAGCAGGAAGAGAAGGAGCATAATGAGGCAATTGATGAGGAGCACGAGGAGGAGGAGGAGGAGGCGGATGAGGAGGTGTGTGATGAAACATGCAAGGGGGAAGAGAAAGAGGATGAGGAGAAGCAGGAGCAGGAGGAGGAGGAGGAAGAGAAGGGCGACGTTCTAAAACGATCGGGAGAAGCATGTAAACGTGAGGATGCAAACGAGGAGGCTGAAGATGATGAGGAGGAGGGTCACGAGGAGGAGGAAGACGAGGAGGAGGAGAAGGAGGAGGAACACGAGGCGGAGGATCACGAGGAGGAGGAGGAGGAGGACGAACACGAGGAAGAGGCGGAGGAGGAGGAGAAGGATGAGGAGGAGAGGGCGTGGGACGGGAGGAGGCAGATAAGGATTGGGAGAAGGAGGAGGGACGAGGAGCAGAAGGATGCGGAGGAGGAGGAGGAGGAGGAGGAGGAGGAGGAGGAGGAGGAGGAGGAGGGTCATGAGGAGGAGGAGGAGGAGGAGGAGGAGGAGGAGGAGGAAATTTGAGAAAAGGGCATTGGACGAGGATGAAGATGAAGGAGGGAGGAAGATGGGAATGAGGAGGCGGAGCGGGAACGGGAATACGGGTAGTTGTGGAACCCCTTCGGGGAACACTTTGAGGAGGATGGCTGGGAAGATTAGATGGGGGAAGGGGAGTAGGAGGAGGAGGAGGCGGAGGAGGAGGAGCAGGAGGAGGAGGAGGAGGAAAAGGAGCGGGCATCTTGGGAGCCTCTGAGGGCACTCTTGGGGCATCCTGGGAGCTTCCTGGGGGCCTCTTCGAGGCAACTTGGAGGCATTCTGACGCCGTCGGAAGTCTAGGGGGCTTCTCTGGGCCGACTTGGGGTCCTCTTGGCGTGCTCCAGGGCCGTCTTCGAGGCCATCTTTGGCATCTTGGAGGCCTCTTGGGCCGTCTTGGGGCCCTCTTGCGGCCGTCTTGGGGGCTTCTTGGAGCGTTCTGGGGCCATCTTGGAGGCCTCTTGGGCGATCTTGGGGCGATCTCTGGGGGCTCTTGGGCCGTCTCGGGCCGTGGGAAGGCCGAAAAGGCGTAAATGCCAACAACCTTGAAAAACGCATGGGATATCTATGATTTTGGCCTTCCTGGGGCCGTCTTGGGCCGTCTGGGATACCCCTTGGGGGCCTTTTGGGCCGTCTTGGGCCATCTTGGAGCCATCTTGGGCCGTCTTGGAGGCATCTTTGGGCCATCTTGGGCCGTCTTGGAGGCCCGTCTTGGGGGCCTCTCTGAGCCGACTTAGGGCCCTCTTGGGGTACTCCAGGGCAGTCTTGATGGCCATCTTGGGCGTCTTGGAGGCCTCTTGAGCCGTCTTAGGACTCTCCCTGGGGCCGTCCTGTGGGCCTCTTGGGCCGTTATGAGGGCACCTTGGAGGCCCCTTGGGCGATCTTGGGGCGACCTTGGGGGCCTCTTGGGCCGTCTTGGGCAGTCTGAAAGCCGAAGCGGCGTACATGCCAACATCCCGGGTAAAGATAAGGAAAATTAATATTTTTCGCCTCTTCGAGCCTTTCTGGAGGACCTCTTGGAGTCCTCTTGGGCCGTCGTGGATGCCTCCTGGGGGCTTTTTGGGCTGTCTTGGGCCATCATGAGGCTATATTAGGTCGACTTGGGTGCATCTTGGGCCGTCTTGGAGCTATCTTGGGGCCGTCTGAGCCGTTTTGGAAGCCATCTTGGCCGTCTTGGAGGCATCTTGGAGACCATCTTGGGCCCTCTTGGGACCGTCTTGGAGGCCATCTTGGGCTGTTTTGGATATTTTTTGTAGACATTGTGCGCGATTGTGCGCCTTTCCGGGTGGCCAGCGCACTGGGCCGGAGTTCTTTTGGAGAAGCCCAAAACCGGTAGGATTGAAAACGCTGGGCACCCCTTTGGCAAGACCACATGGGGCGGCGGATCCTTTGGCCTTCGGCCTGTCCCGCCAGTGCCTGAGTTGTGGGTGAGGGGATTCTTGGATGCCTGTTGGGGCCTCTTGGCATGGTTCTCGGGTGCCTCCTTTGGCCAGTTTGAAGCCTCTCGGGGCACTTGAGGACTGTTTGGGCGCCGCCTGGCCTTCATTTGGGACTATTGGGAAGCCTCTTGGGCGCCCGCTGGCGGTCTCGGAGGTTCACTTCGGTCGGAGGGCCCGAAATGTTAGCTGAAACTCCCCTCTTGGGCCCCCCTTGGGCCGTCTTTGGCGCTTCTTGAATCGTCTTGGGGTTTTTCTTGGGCCGTCTTTGGGCCATCTGGGGGGCCTCCTGCGGCAATCTTTGGGGGCCTCTCGGGCTGTCCCCGACGTCACAGAGTCGAGAGGCTGAAGTACACGCCTGCCTAAGGGAATCGGGCGGTGTTGGCCTCCTGGGGCCCTCTCGATAGGGGGCCACATGCGAACTCTGTCCCTACCCCCCACGATTTCTGAGGGGAAGGGTTGGGTTCACTTCGTTCGAGCAAAGTGAACCCCACTCTTCCCCTCAGAAATCGTGGGGGGTAGGGGTAGGGTTCGCATGTGGCCCCCTCCTTGGGGAGCACCGTGGAGCCTTCTCGGGCCGTGCTCGGGGCCTAGGTGTTTGAGCCGCCGCTGGGCCCTGCGGGGCCGCGCTTGTCGACCATGCGCGCCCCCCAGCATTGTCTTGGGCGCCCGGGGGGGAGGCCCGGGAGCCCGCGGAGGGGGGGGCGCCCAAGAGGGGGGGGGAATCCAGGAGGGTGTGCCTGGCTGTGGCCTGTGCCCCGGGTGCCCCGGCATATGGTAGGTCATTCTAGCACATATGTATATCTATATAGACATGTGTACATGCATATATACATCTACGCATGCGCATGCATACATATATATATATATATATATATAGATCTGTACATCTGTACACACTCAAAGATGTGCATTCGTATTCTTGTGCATAGAACTGTCTGCTGCTCCTTCTCCTCGTCCTGCTCTTCCTTCTCTTCCTATCATCACTATCCCAATTGTGCGAGCGTGCGAGTTTTTTTTGTTTTTTTTCATATGCGCCGCGTGCGGGCATTGATGAGGTAGTGGGCATCCTCGATTGGAGGTCGAAGCTGGCTTCCGCAACCAGAGCGATGGAACAAACAAAAGCCTGACGAAGATCATAACGCTTTCTTTTTAAGCGGTGACTTCAGAACGGGACGATCATTCCACAAGAACGCGTTGACGGATCTGCAATAGTCTGTACAACTTCGCCAAATGTGGCCAGACCGCACACAGAGTCCACCTGCCACGCTTGCAATCTCACGCATCGAATCGCAAAGGGAAGGTGACGATGAACGCGACGCGGAGCAGAACGGGGCCAGGGACACGAGGAAATATATTTCGCGGGGAACATGGCCCAACGCCATGCGAGCACGCCCACTGGGCGCGCCCTGTGGGGCACCGAACGTGTGAGGGATGCGCCGAAATGAGCGGAGCGACGCCATGCGAGCACGCCCATGGAGGTCATATACGTGCAGCTGCCAGTGGGGCCGAAACGTGTGAGTGGTGTGCTGAAATGGGCGGGGGGAATCCACGCCAGCACGCCCACTGAGGCGATAGGCGAAGCTCCCTGCGGGGCACGAAACGTGCGAGGGGTGTGCCGACATGGGCGGGGGGTCGGGGGATGCCATGCGTGCACGCCCACTGGGGCAAAAGGTGAAGCTCCCTGTGGAGCACGAAACTTGTGAGGGGCGTGCCGAAATGGGCGCGGGGACGCCGTGCGAGCACGCCCACTGGGGCCAGTGGTGCAGCTCCCTGCGGGGCTCGGAACGTATGGGGTATGTGCCGACATTGGCGGGGGGACGCCATGCGAGCACGCCCACTGAGGTCATACGTGCAGCTACCCGTGGCGCACGATACGTTTGAGGGGCGTGCCGAACTGGGGGGACGCCATGCGAGCACGCCCACTGATGTCATAGGTGCAGCTCCCTGTCGGGCACGAAGCATGTGAGGGGTGTTTCGAGATCCGAAGTGAGGGGGGGGGCGTCATGCGAGCAAGCCCAGTGTGGCCATAATTCGGTGCAGATCCCTGCGGGGCATGAAGCGTGTGAGGGATGTGGATGTGTCGGCATGGGCGGGGGGATGCCATGCGAGCACGCCCACTGAGGCCAGAGGTGCAGCTCCCCGTGGAGCGCGAAACGTCTGAGGGATGTGCCAACATGGGCGGGGGGACGCCATGCGAGCACGCCCACTGGGGCCAGTGGTGCAGCTACCTGTGGCGCAGGCACCACACGGGTGAGGGGTGTGCCGACATGGGCAGGGGAACGCCATGCGAGCACGCCCTTTGAGGCGATAGGTGTAGTTCCCTGCGGGACACGAAACGTGCCAGGTGCGCGCCGACATGGGCCAGGGACGCCATGCGAGCACGCTCACTAAGGCCCTTGGTGGAGCTCCTTACGGGGCACGATACGTGTGAGGTGTGTGCGTGTGTGTGTGTGTATTGAAATGGGAGGGGCTGGGCGGGGCGATTGCGCCCACTAGGGCTCTCGGTGGAGCTCCCT